GGGAATGAAATAATTATGAGGAAAAGTAGAAGCATTATGGTCAAGAATGGAAAACTGTAAGAGGAATTATGGTAGTAATTGGAGATCTGTAGGAAAAATGCAGTTTTAGGAGAGAATAAATTTGACTGGAAACAGAAAATTGTAGAGAAAACAGAAAGTGAGAAAAGATGGGCAGTAGAAAATTGTGAGGAAAACAGGAAATCTGTAGATGCTATAAAGGTAAAAAAACATGATATTGTAGGAAATAACAGAAATTGGGAGGTAAACAAGGGTTGTGAGGGAAAGAAATTATGAAACAGAACAGGGAATTATGGGAATTACTGACATCATGAGAGAAATAAGGGATCGTGGGAAAGGCAGAATTATAAGGAAGAAAGGAATTGTGTGGGGAAACAAGGTACTGTGGAAAGAACAGAGTATGGTGGAAAACATGGGGATTGTAGAAACATTGGTATTATAGGACTGATGATTTTAAAGAAAAACAAGATCCATGGGTGTTAGAATAAATTATGAGACAGAAAGAGAGAAAAAATATTGGGACAAAACAGAACTCAGGAAAGACAAGAACTGTAGGAGAGACAGGAGGCTGTGAGAAAAGAGAATTATGTCGTATTAAGGACTGTAGGAGAATCAAGAATAAGTGGGCAAGAAACTGTGGAAAAACTGACCCTCTCGGAGACACAGGGGAATGTGGAAATAAGAAGAGCTATGGAACAAATCTGGAACATGGGTGAAATAAGAAGTTGTGGAAAGGAACAGGAAAGACTAGAGAATGTGAGCCCTGTGGGGAAAATGAGGCATCAATGGACAACAGAAATGCAAGAAAGAGGAACTGTGGGAGAAGCAGGAACAATGGCCAAGAGGGGCTGAGGAAAAAATGTGGCATTGTAGCAAAGAGTGAAGAACTGCGGGAAGAAGAGGACAGGATAGAAACAAGGATGTGGGAGATACCCAAGAACCGTGAGCAGGAGTAGCAGTGAAAGGAAGGAAGAAATGAGGGAGATTAAAAACAAAAACTAGTGGGAGAGATCCAAAGACTGTGAGAAGTAGGGAGAACAGAGCAAAGAAGTCATTTTGCATGAGAATTGAGAATGTGGTAGGACAAGTAGGAGGAAAAAGAAGAGATTGAGTGAGAGCAATAAAGTAGTGTGGAGAAAAGAGAAGACTGAGGGAAGAGGGGTAATAGGAGGGACAAGTTGTGTAAGACAGCAGGATTATGGAAAGAGGAGAAGGAAGAAAAACAGGAATTATGGGTAAGATCAACAAGGAATCATGGGAGAGAACTAAGGTCCTAGGAAATAGTGTGCTATGGTTGATACATTGTGTCAACTTGGGGAGTCTAGAGGTTTGGTAAGTGACTCAGCAGGGAGCCAGAGTGCTTACTTTGTATACATCCTGAGCCTGTGGAAGAGGAGGGAATGGAGATTATATGCATGGTACACCTGGGTGAGGGTAGCCTGTTTACAATGTAAGGGAGGGAAAGAGGCTGCTTGCCACCACTACTCCCTTTTTGCTCTTGTTATTTTTGCTGTGCTCTGCCGCCATGAACATTTGCCTTTTGCCATGTGCCACTTTGCCTTGGAGCCAACCAAGTATGGACTGAAACCTTCACAAACTCTAAGCTAAATAAACCTTTCCTTCCTTAATTTTAGGCGTTGGGTATTTTGTCTCAGCAACGAGAGAAAAGTAACTAAGACAGAGTGGCAGTAGGAAAAAAAAGGCATTGTGAGAAACATCAACAGGAATTATGGGGAAGAACCGAAGACTATTGGAAGTAAGGGCTCTAGAAAGAACAAAGCATCATGGGAGAAAATCAAGATATTGTGGAAGGGAACCGCAATAGTATTTCTATGTTCTAGTTTTAAGACTGAATCTATTTTTCTCTGGGAAACCACAATTCTTGCTCTTAAATTTCTAGTGTGCTACCTGTTCTACTGATTAAGATTTGTCAAATTTGCCTATAATAATGTGAGCCCATTCTTTATAAGTACATAAGAGAGGGTTATGGCTTGTACCTAGATGTTCCTCTAAAACCTCATGAACTCATAGGTGGAGCTTTTGGAGTCAACTTGATCTAGAGTGTGTGATGCTGAGATTAAGGGTGTATGATACTAAATTAGCCTACAGATTGGAATAGCATAGAAGCCCTACCTTTGGCACCAACCAAAAGGCTTTTAGCCTGCATGGGATAAAAGGGAAAGAAAGCTCACTGCTGCTGCTGCTTACTTCCTGCCTTCTGTCTGCCATGCCAAGCATGACTACGGACTGAAACCCCTACAAACTGTGAACCAAAATAAACCTTTACTCCTTTGACTTTGGGTGTTGGGTACTTTGTCTCAGCAATAAGAAAAGTAGTTAAGACAAGAGGTCTGTGTTTGTATCTGTCATATATTTCCTTCCTATTTATTTATTCATCTATCATCTACCTGTTTATATCTATCCATCTCTCTCTACGTATCTTTTAGTCATATATCAAGCATACCTACCCATTATATCTACCTGGGTATCTCATTTACCTTGATGTATCTGTCACCCATATCATCTGTTACCTACCCATTCCTTTCTCTATTTGTCTATTTACCTTCATCGTTAAGTCAACGATGCCCATTAATCATATCTATCTTTCTGTCTGTCCATCTACCTACCTATTATCTATGTCTCTATCTAGTATCTATCTGTCTATCAATCATCTATCAACTATCCATCTATCTTTCCATTCTATTGACTTTTCTCCCCTCAAAAATATTGACTAACACAATTAGCATGAAGACATAGAACAAGATTATTGCTAGGTCATATTTCCAACCCTAGTTTCTTTCACATTGACTAACCCTGCCTCACACCCATTATTCTGTCTGGATAAGTTCACAGTGTCTTATTTTTTAAAATTTTCAGTGTCTCTCTTCTTTGTTGCATGTTCTCCATCTTTACCAAGAAGGATCTCTTTTTGTCTCCTGGTCTGCCTTCTTTTCTAACATTTCATTGGTACTTGGACTATTTTCTTTTAGTTACTTCATCAGCACTGTACACATATCCTAACACTTTAATTTTTGACTAAGACAGTACATGCTCAGACATACAGCGTTCCTATAAGAATCGCTATTTACCAGCCACGGTACTGTATCAGTTAAGAAACATTGTTTCTTGTGATGAAAAGGTGAATATATGTTTAGGCTGTAATGAATTCATGGGAAAAATCAGTACAGTGCAGCAAAATTAGCTAAGTATTCAGTTAACATCTGAATTTGTTTGTAGACTAAGGATTTATCATTTATCTTAACCATCTAGAAAAACATGAATATTAATATGCTTGTCTTATGTGCATAGCTATTTACCTGATCATTTTGTGATTCTAAATTTTCATTTGTACTTTCAGATTAAAAACCAATTTGCTAATTCTGACTGTTGTTTAGTAAAGCAGCATAGCTCTATTATTTCATCAGATACTATTCAGTGAAATTTAATAGAGATTTGGTGCCCCCAAAAACATGTTTACAAAAAGACAGCTTCTGAAGCTTAAAATTTGAGTGCAATTTTTGATTATTCATAATAGCAAACAATAAATTGTTTCAATGTCTACAGATGTCTTACATTATTTTGTGCACTATTCCAGAGCTAAGACAATTGTTTTAAAATTATTTTTCCTATCCAGCTAGCATATCCATTTTAAGTATTAAATAGAAAAATTAGATTGCTAGGAGAGAAAGAATAAATATAAAAAGATATGAATATTTAAGCATAAAAACAGAAAATATATTAAAAATAAAGTCAGAGATTTTATTTTTCTCAAGAATGTGCTTTTTTTCTTAAAAAACCTTTTTTTAAAAAGAAAACAAAATATCCCTCTTGCCTCCCTCTGCTGCTTAAATTGTCTCTCATGGCTTTGCAATGATACTGCTGTGCAGATACCAAAATTATGTCATATCTACAGATCATAAGAGTATGTATCCATAGCAACGGACAGTGCAGGTAATGGTGCTGAGTTTATATAGATTCATGAGCCCTTAAAATTAGACCTTTTTCATCTTAAGAAAAAAGAGACAACTCCTGCTTTAACAATGAGGTAAACAATATTTTACATATCACAAGCACACGTTTTAAAAGATTGCCTTGACGTACATGTGAGAAAGCTTATAGTACATAGTGAATAAAATACAGATTTTTGTTTTAAAGTGGCAAAAGGGCAAACTGTATGTTCAAGGAGAAAAGTCTATAAACCTCACTATTCATGTTGGTGGAAAGAGAAGCTTGGATTATGTTGCAATTTCAAGGTATGTGCGTGTCTATTACTTTAGAAAATTGCACCATACAGAAAGGTTTGTTTTGGAAAATTAACGCCTTGCTAGGTGATGTATGAATCACCATAAAATCTCAAATTAGTGAGCTCAACAATAATGAAATTTCATCATAGCTGAGAAACGGAGTAAAGAGTACAGCTTAATTTGGTGTTTGCAGAACTGGCCTTTCACCGAGTGTGAAGCCATTATGCATAGTGTAGTTTAGATCACTACAGTGTCATGGGTGAAAATTCTAAAGACTTGCAGCAAACTTCCAAAGCATCGGTCACAATGCACAGCTTCTAAGGTAATGATTTAGGGCAAGATTTTAACAATGGTAATCTCCATTCTTGTGACCACCTCATTTTCCTCCTTAAGAATTTCCAAGTGAACTCCATCCTAGATGACATTTAATTTTGAAAACCTTCCACTACTTCAGGACAACCTGAACAATTTCCACCACTTTCTGTTTCTGATCATTCATTAATATTTTTTATTTTAAAGAGAAAAGAACAAAAGCAAAGATAAGAGCAAAACAACACCAAAACATAAAAACTACAGAATTTCCCAAGGTGATAAGAAATTAACAATGGTTATCATATTACGTATTGTTATCTTTAAAGTGGTCACTCAGATAACCAGATATAGGCATGTAAGATTGGTCAAACCATTAAACATTAACTGTTCCTTTCAATGAAGCAATAGAAATTAGTAGTACAATTATCTTAGTTATCTTATGTATATATATACATTTTTCCCTTCTTTCTTTTCTCTCATTAATTTTAAGATTCAACATGCAACCTTCCTTCCTTGCTCATTGCTCTGTATATAGAACAAGGTTACTTCCCAGTTCCTGTATCTCTAAGTCTTCTCAAAGCCAATAGAAAACTTGACACCTGCTAGTTATGAAGTTGCACATTCCTGCCCGCTCCTGTGTGGAACCACCCCATGCTTGTACTTCTGTGTATACTTCCTCTTCTTCCACCCCTTTCTGTAACTTTCCGACTCCTCAGAAAAGCTGCCCTCTTGAAAATGCTCACACTGCCTACATTTACATCTCGAGTACAGCTTGTGGACTTGCCATTTTGCCATGTTCTTTGAAAGTGCATTTTATTCCCTTACAAACACGTTGCAAGAATAGCATATTTAAAACTTGTTATTAGGATAAGTTTGCCATACACAATGAATATATTCTTTATGAGGTACATACACATAGAACATTTTGTTTGTTTTTACTTCTCCTTCCCTTCAACCCGTCCCACCTCCACAATGTCTATCTCCCAGTTTTTTCTGATCTTTCTTTAATTCAGCTCTTCCAAATATTTGCAAGAACAGTATGTTTCCATTGTCCCCATTGCATACATGATGCAGTTGAAATTCTTTTGGATTAGATGAGTAGAAACAGTGGAGGAAAGAGAATATTATTTTGGGTAGTCTCTTAAGGGTTTTTCCAGCTCTGATGTTCCATATATAAGTGTTGTCATGGAAAGAAATATGTAAAATGTATCTCCACTATAAAATGAGGGAATAGCCTCTCTTGTTGGACCAAAAGTTTGTACCTCGGTTGTTAACAGATCTCCCCGAAGTTGGGATGAGGTGTCTTTCCTCGTGGGAAATGAGGACTGTCTGAGAAGGTTCCAGGTCCTGTGATTTCTTGCCTACAAGTCTGCACCAGAGTCCACGTTCCACCATTGAAGACAAATTGCACAGTGATAAAAGAGCCTTTTCTCAATGGAAAAGAGTGTTGTGTTCATGAGATGCTAAAACGGATGTCCTGTGGGGCAGGGGGAAGAAAAACAAATTGGTAACGATCTCTTGCCTTAACAGTTAGGTAAAATGAATATTTTACATACTACAAGCACACAAAATAAATGACTACAAATTAATGTGAGGGTCTTAGATTAAGTAAATCTGAACAGGCTTTTTCACTTTTCACTTGATTGTATGCACTGGGGGAGACGTTAAAGCATGGCTTTCTCAAATATTTGGTACACTCATTTCTGCCTCTGAGACGGTAACGTAATATACATGTACTGTGAATTTATTGGGTTGTAAATGCTACTCCTCTTGACACGCATCAGAGTAGAAATACTCCCTAAAGAGGTAATAGATAAAACCAGTGTCCATGTCTTAGGGTTTGGGGTCTTGTGGTTGTACACTATTATCACTGCAGGGGAAAGCTGAAGAAATCATGGTTGCAAAGTCAGATTGGTCTGGATAGACACTGGACTTTTTTTCAGGTCTTGAGATTAAAGCCAGGGTCTTTGCACTGAGCTACATCCTATAACTGTTCTTACTTCCTCCCTCCCTCCCTCCCTTCCTTCCTTCCTTCTTGCCTTCCTTCCTTCCTTTTCTTTCTTTCTTTCTTTTTGAAGATTGCTTACAGAAGTTTCTTTTTAAAAGAAACTTTATTTTTTGTTTTAAAGAGAAAACAAAAACAAAATAACAAAAACAAAGACATAAACTATTTCTTTCTCTTTCTTTCTGTCTTTCTATTTCTTTATTTCTTTCCTCTTTCCTTCTGTCTTTCCTTCTTTCTTTCTTTTCTTCCAAATAAGGTCTTTCAAATTGCTAAACCACCCCAGTGGGGCTGGAACTCACAATTATCCTGTCTTATCTTCCCAGAGTCCTGGGATTACCAGAGAACACTACCACACCAGGCTTGCACTGGCATTTTGGAGAGCTTCCCTGGTAATTCTAATGCATAGCCAAGGTTCAGAACACTTGGCTAAGGCCAAGCACAAGATCGAGTTGTTGAAGTCCTGCATAAAAATGCTTAGGACTCATTCGTATGTTCTTGGAGAGTGAAATTTAGAAATGAATAGTGATGAGGTAATGAACAAAGGATGCATGCAGAGTCTGGAAGAGCAGCCATTAGGGAAAATTTAAAACTCTCTATGGATTGAGGGAACATCAGAGTCTTTTGACACTGGTGTGGGCAGGATGGTGAGAGAGAGAGAAGCTTAAATGCGGAAATATCCTTTCTTCCCCTATTTTTATGTTTCTGCCAGCCCGGGCTACTCAGGGAGAACAGGGCAAAGGACTCTAACTTTGCCTGACTTATACTGTTCCTCTCACATGTCAATATGAATACACATTCATCAACGTGACCACAGAGTCCTGCTCTTAAATTCCACATTAACACTTGCCATGAGACACATTGTTTAAGAACCAGCGCTGTGTGCTAGTCACAGTAATTGTGAAACCAATTCCAAATTATAGATTTCACTCCCATGAAATTGCATCTCCATGGCAGAGTGTGCAAGCCACAAATAATAAGCTTTCTGTCTGCCTGTGCGTGCACTGTTGCAGTCATTAAAATGCATTCTGCTTCTCTTTAATTTGTACACAGAAGCCAGCAGTCAATAGTGTCTCTGCAAGCCCCTTTATCCCCTTGCCTTTTTGTCTCATCTGCAATGCCATCTCTCTGCTGGAAATGGATACCTATTTCCCAATCTTAAATTATTAAATTTATGTCATTTTCACCACCTCCTAGTGACCTAAGCCCACACCAGAGTGAGCATCCATTTCGGTCTTCTGTTGTGTCATTTTCAGTCTGTGTTTCTTCAAAATAGAAAAAGTCATACGTTCAAGTCCACTGCAGAAAGTAGGTGGTACAATTTATTTTTAAATAAATACCATGCCTACTTTTGGAAAAGCAGCCTCGGACTATAAATATATTCGAGTGAGGGAGAAAATGCAAAATCCACTTTTCTGCTTTTATCCTGTACATCTAAAAGTCATTAATATTTCATTTGTGCCCTGAAAGCATTTCTTTTCCATCTATACAATACCCAAACCTATTAAGGAATTTTAAGCAATATGAACAGAAAGGTTTTCTGTTTCCCTCTCTTCTTATAAGTAACACCGAGTTGAAAGTTTCAGGTTAAAGGAAGGCTTTGGGAGCATTCACATGGTGAATGTACCTAGTTCATGGCTCTTCCCGGACATGCATTATTTAGTATACTGTGTTTGGGGAAATGTATTTTGCACTTGGGTTTTGAAAGAGAGATTTGTGAAATGGTGTTTTGTGCCTGAGTTTTGCTTTTGCCAAAATCACATCTGCAAGGATGGGTGTCTGTAGTTCCACATGCACAACTACCATCCAGTGCACACAGATGTTCCCAGCTTGGAACTCCAAGGCATGCGTTACCTGTGCGCAGCACATCAGGTGACTTGGAGACAGCTACACGCATCCCTCTATATCCCTGTCTTTGTGATCTCACAAAAAGCCTGGAGAAGGACATGGACTGCACGAAGGACCTGGCAAGACAGGAAAAAGAACATAGCAAGCCACAGGCACAATCAAGCGTATATTTCTTCGCCCTTTTACCATACTGGGTCTCTTTCCTCTCCTCATCACTTGGCCAGTGTCTCTGGTCCGAGGGCCTGGTGCCTGAAGGTGACGTTTCTGTTTTTACCTGGGCCACCTTAGCTGAGCAGGCCCTGGCTCCAGCATACACAGTACCCCCAAATCACACACCCCTCTCTTTCCACTCTCTCCCATCATCAGGTTTGCCCATGGCAAACACTGGCAAATTAGAGTGATGGAAATAATTCATATTCTAAAGGCTTACTCATTTCACCAAGTACAATAGAAGTGTTCAGCATTAAAAGAGATTTAATTTTTAGCATAATTTCAGACTATTTTCTGGGCCACTTCACCATCCATTTCTCTCTTAAAGAATGGTTCCAAGGCCATCTTCCCCGTTCTGACCACTGGGATGCACCCTATTCTTACGACACAACCTTGTGGGAATGAATCTTTCCTTAGCTGATATCATGACAATGGGATGATGTCCTTTTTCTGTAACAGAGCTGGAGATCAAACCAAAGCCACTCAACATGCCAAGCACATGCTCCACCACTGAGCTACCCACCCACGTGGAGCATTTTAATATGCAGCTCTAACCCTAACATTTTCCAACTGTACTACCCGCCTTCTAACCTTTCAACTCCTTTCCACCGAAAAAGGCCTGGCTTTGCTAAGGTGTGCACCCCCGAATACATATCTGAATTTATAAGCATGTTAGTGTTATAAATTTCTTCATGTGTGTGAATTCACTTTTTCTAAAAAAAGGGCAGTTCTTTCATTTGAAGCAATATAAACCTATTAAGTTGGAGAAATCATTTTAACCCATCTGACAGAATGTAATAGTCAGAGGGAAAACTGTCTACTCAAAACTCGTACTTATCTAAATATTGTACTTGGGGTGACTGTGTAAAATAAATGAACTGGAAAATGGTAGCATCCTTCTGTAAGAGCAAAGATTTGTGGTATATCTGACAATTTTAGCAGGTTTTTTTTTTTTAATTCAGTTGAACAATGTGCCCTGTTTTCTATTTGTTGTTGTTAACTAAGTTGTATTTGGCTATTTTTAGCTTAAAGATTATGCAGAAATCTGAAAATTGGGCAAGAATAGCATTGTACCTACTAACAATGCCTATTTTCCTGGAATGAAGGGGAACATCACTTATATAGTGTCTTAACTTGCACAGCTCAAATTTTAACGTGACAAAGAGATATTTCTCTGGAAACCAAGAGAACTATCATTTCTTTTCTCATTTGACATCTGCAGAATAAGAGTAAGTATTTCTTAATTCACAGGAAGGTGAGGCTACTTTTCAAGGGATCCACCAAATTAATCTACTGGAGTAGATGCCGTTTCTTCAGCCCATGTTTGTCTTAAATATAGCGTACACACAGACGACGCACATATGAAAATAGCTCAAGATTTAAATAGGTGACACTGTTTCATAAGTAAAAGATGACTCTTGATTGTGATATAAAAGCCGCTATTTTAATACTTTCAGCAATCATCAGTGTCCTTGTTTTTTCCACATTGTTCCTATATTTTGAATATAATTAATGGAAAGGTTTAGCTTTGCCTTTCAGAAAATTTACGTGTTTTTTTTTTTTAATTTGACTTGAGTAGCATTTGCTCATATAATGAACCAGCGCTCTGTTTCTAGCTACTTAGCCATCGATTTTTTTATCTGATTCATTTATTTGTTGACGGCTCTTCTTGTTCACAAAGCTTCCAAGGCTTCCACATTTATTAAGAAATGTTATCCCTGTGATGTGTAATTTCCACTTTGGAGATATCAGAATGCCAATGTCCAAGGGATCTATAATGAAGGCATGATTCAACATTGGATATCTCTTTCTGGTAATGCACCCCACAACATATCTGGGGTCCAATATAAGCCAATTACATTTCCACATAATTATCACACAAAAAACCCTGTAAATATTACCATCAACCCTGAGACCCCAGCTTTGGCTAAACTGACTTACCCAAGTCCACTCCCGGACATTTTTGGTAGGAATATCATGTGTGCTACTTGCAGCTCACTAAAAGTGACATGGCAAGCTCACATTTTCAGGTGTCTTCGTTGCTCCTAATGTGAAAAATCAAGAAGAGGCACGTAAGCAAAAATGAAAAAGTAGTGACCAAACTTCCAAATCAGAAAATTCACCTCCTGGCAACAGAAACCTAACAAGCACTCAGAGAAGCCAGACTTTGCTGCTGGGCCCTTGGCCCACAAGCAAGGTGACACCAAGAGGTTAAATTTCCTATCATCATGGCAGATGCTCCCTGAGTCTGGACACAGAGCCCTGTCTTTCAAGAAGTGAGGAAGGTTTTAAAAGCACTGCTGACTGCTTCTCAGAGCTAAGAGTCCTATGAGGGAGAGATCCTAGGGAGAAGGAAGGAATCAAACACAGCCTCCCTGCCAGAACTGAAGGAAGTGGTCTTCAGGGTCAGTAAATGCACTCACGGTCTGTCCAGTCACATCTCTGGACAGGGGCTCCAGCTGTGAGTTCAAGACCACAGAGGAAAGTCTTAGTTCATTTCTCCCTGGCTGTCACAAGATGCCTCAAGCTAGCTGCTTTATAAAGAAAATAGGTTTACATAGCTCACAGCACTGGAGGTCTGAGGGCATGACTCCAATCTCAAGGAAAGTGGCATCCTAATGCAGCCAGCGAATGCTGCAAAGGTCTTGCAATAAGACAAGAAACAGGAGGGATCAGATGTGCTCTTTTACAATTCTGTCTTCAGTGAACTGACTCACGCTGGATGACCAGCACTAATCCTTCTCAAGCCAATACCCCCATGACCTAACTGCCTTGTATTAAAGTCCTCTGACCTAGCTGTCTGCCAGGAGGTTCTGCCTTTCTAACCTCTCTATGATGCCACAGTGAGGTGCAACTTTTCAGCACATGGACCTTTAGAGGGACACACTCAAACCATGGCCATAGGCCACTATCAAAAGTAACCAGGTGTGACCTCCTACCTGTGTCACACTTTTCCATTTTGGTCCCTCCCAGGAGGCCTACAAACTCTCCTAGATCAAAAGCAGAGGATTCCAAAAAAAAAGCAGAGGATTGGCAAAACTCCTTACTACAAAGGGCTAGGCAGTAAATACTTTTGGTTTGGAGGCCAGATGGTCTCTGCCATTGTGGCTGTGTAGCATGGAAGAGGATACAGATGTTATGTGAGTGGACATGGCTGTGTCTCAGTAATACTTTATTTAAAAACAGATGACAGACAAGATGCATTTCACTTTGAATATCCCTGAGCCAAGGACTAATCAGTATCACACATTACTTTGAGTACAATAGTCCCCAAATATTCCTTGGTACATTTTAATGTTTCCTATACATCTTAGTTATTAATCAAATGTGATGTAATATTATTCTAAGAAGTCACTACTATTAAAGTCTCTAGCATTCTCTGCTATACCTTGGTAAGTAGAAAACTGAGTAGGGGATCTCAGTTTTATTACACCCATCCCTGAATGATCTCTATCCTAGGGTATTTACCTCTGTCATCTCTATGTCTCCATTCACCTGCCTTTTGATTTTGAAACACAAGAAAAGCTCGGCCTCAGGAAGGTTAAGCCAGCTAGCCAAGGTCAAATGTCTAGCCCACAACATAGCTAAGAGGATGAGATTCCAGCTTCCTGAAACCTTGTGCAATCCCTCTTCTCACAGACAAATAGCTTTTGCTGTGAAATGTGTCCCCGTTCAATCCTTGTGGCTCTTCACCCCTTCCATCAATGTTTTATAATGTTTCTCAGGTTGTTTGACCTTGATCTGCGATAGCTCTCAGTCAGCCAAAGAAGTTGTGCCACAAATTTAAATCTCTTTCTCTTGAAAATGAATTGCCTGCATAATCAGAATTAAAGAGTGGTTTCCTAGAATAACAAAATCGCCTTTAACTGGAAATCCGCCAGGCATTTTTTTCCCCCTAGTTCTTACTGCTCTTTTTAGACAACTAGGGTCCAGCTCATGGCCATCCCGAATAATGCAAGTGGGACGCTCAGAAGGACATAAAAAGCCCTTCTTGTACACTGGATTTTCAAGGGCCTTTGCTGATAGAGATATTTCGTTTTGTATTCCGTTCCGCTATGTCTGCGAGCAATTTCTTTATATGACCTCCTCTTGCAGGGACTGGCACACTTATCTCTTCCCTGGCGGCAACCCATGAAGTGTCTGTCTGCAGAACGTCTGGGCGATGATAAGGGGAGCTGTTCGGGTCATTTCCTATTTTGTGCAGCGTCTCTTACCCAGATGCATCTTGTTCTTTTTTTTTCCATGTCCAGTGGCTCTCGAATTTACCACCCTAACCTTAGGTTACACGTTTAACTAAGAGCTCTACAGCTGAGGCAAAATGCTTATAAATATATTAGAAAATGCACACCACACACACAGTTCATCATTAAAACAACTGCACTGTAGAAGGATTACTGAGGTAAAGAATGAAGAGGGTTCAGTTCTCCAATTGTGCAGCCAAAACCAGTGATTTATCTCTCATCATGTTGACCGTACATATTTTTTTGACAAATATATGGGCATATTCATTGAATATGCTTTCTTGAAAGACAGTGAAAAGGAGATAATGCATTAAACACCGATAAGCACACACACACACACACACACACACACAGGTATTTCTTAGAGAAATCTATGCCAACTGTGTACTTTGAGTGTTGCTTTTAGCTGTTTGGAAAGCTGAATAATGCACACAGTTTTAATTATAATACTCAAGAAAGAAAACAAGAAAAATCTTGAGCTGTGGAGCATGGATTTTGTGCTCCAGAAATGCATGGCCACCTCTGTTCTTTTTATCACTCAGCCAAAATTCTCCTTTGAAGGAAAACACCTGGGTACTTTGATGCCAGACAAGCTCTGTGATACTGCAAATGGGGAAGATTTGCGTGTTACAAGGCAGAAAAGAGGCAGTTACCTTGAAAAGCGTTAGTTTATGGCTAGCAGTTAGGGCGTCCGGTCACTGATAGTCTCCCTGATAATGCCTTTCCGTGTGTACTCCTTGAACTTGGAGTTGAATAAATGCTCACAAATGACATCTTAACCAAGCGATTCCCTACTGGGTTAAATAACCCTTAGTTATTGCAGGCTGATCAAGCCCGCAATCTCCCAAGTGAGTGGACGGTGAAGACTTGAATAAATGAGACAATTGAAATGATTTCAGGGCTCCAGGAGAGTCTAACTCTCTCACAGCATATGGTATGCTCTGGTTTTAGACCCAGACTCCTCTGAGCAGCCTGTATTTATTTGGTTTACAAACAAAGGAGGAGGATACTCAAGAAAATGCAGGAATCTGAGCAGAACCTTGGTAGAATTTTCCCAAGTAGTAAATTAAGACAATCAGGAAAACTATCTTATTTTTAGGTTGGTATTTATCATAGGAGTGTGGAGCCTACAGCTGCAGTCTCCTTATAGTTAAACGGGGGTTGGAGCCAGATGTCCTCAGCTGTGGCCTTATCTTGTCCTTTGAGGCATCACAGCTTCACACACCCATAAAGGCCTTAGGGTGACCAGTGACTCACAGAGGTTTGCTTACTATGAGTTCACTGCCAATCCCCAGACAAGGTGCCTAAGCTTCAAACAACTCAAAAGTAATCATGCAAAGCCAATTGGTTAATAGTAAATCCTGCTCAGAGCCACTCTGTAGTGGTCTCCAACAATTCCCCTTTTCAGATAATATGTACAGTTACAAAAGCCATTGTTCCCCATGCCATTTCCTCTGAAGGATCACATACAGTAGAAGGAATTCATCACAAATAAGCAAACAGATTCACCAGTATTTTGCTTATTTATGCCCACAGTCAAAATGGCACTACATACAATGTCACCACTTTGACTTGAAATCTATGGCCATGCTCATGTAGAGGAGAAGTAGAAACACTTGCTGTGATTTGAAGGTGTTTCCTCTCTAGAACTCAGGTTGAACCTCTGTTTTAGTATTACAGTGTTATTAAGACATGGGACCTGTGGAAGATAGCTCAGGTCAGATGCGGATGGAGATATCATGGTGCCATTACTGGATTTAAAAGGAGAGGATGAGGGGCCAAGTTAGCATTCTTGCTCTGCCTTCCTATAAGACATCCTCTGCGATGTTATGAGCAGGAGGAAGGCCCTCACCAGATGCCAAGCAGATGATGGTGCCATGATCTCTGACTTCTGGAATGATAAACTAAGTGAAACTGTTTATTACTACTTGGCCTGTGCTGTTTACTAATACCAACCAAAAAGTTAAAAGAAGGTCCTCTCCAACAAGCCTCTCCACTTTATGATGATCACTTATTCTGACTCCTAGTAGCCCAGTAGTTTATGCTACCCTACAGAAAAGTACACCCCTAACACAGTCCATCAAGATAACCCTGCAGGTCTCTTCTGCCTTTTCTTTCCTGCCTACTGAGGCCAGCTATGTGTTCAAAGACATGGATCACTCTCCACACTGGAGACAGCCCTAGTTTTAGTCCTGACTCCACCGCTTGGTTATAACCTTCTCAGTTGACTTACTCTCTGCTATAGTTCAGATCTTGACTCTCCCCCAGAAGCTCTGTGTTGAAGGCTTGATTCCCAGCCTGTGGTGCTATTGTGAGGTACTGAAAACTTTCAGAGGTAAGGCCCAGTGGGAGGAAGCTGAGTCACTGGGGGTATGGCCTAGAAGGGGCTACTGGGCCCCAATCCCTTCCTTTATCTTTCTCTTTGTTTCCTGGCCAACATAAGACAAGCAGCCTCTTCTGTCATGAAAGTCTGCTGTGATGTACTGTGTCATCACTGACTCAAAGCAACAGGTGACCATGGACTGAAACCTCTGGAACAGTAAGCCAAGATAATCCTTTCTTCCTTTTAATTTATTTCCTTTGGGTATTTTGTCATAGTGATGAAAAGCTGACCAACACATTCTCTTAGGCTCAGCTTCCTCCTATAGAAAATAGATGTGCTGATATGTACCTCATGGGTAAAATGAAGATTTACCAGAGGATATTGACAGAGTGCAGAGCAAAATGTCTAGTCCTGAAGGGTCTAGTATAATCAGAAGTTTTTGGTTTTTTTTTAATCTCCTTATATCTCCCACCATGGCATG